GCCCCCCAGCCCCAGTTGGGGGCTGGGGGGCCCCAGAGGCCCCGAGGGGCTCTGGGCCCCTTTCCTCGTGGCTGTTACAACATGGCTACTTCTTCTAACAACCAAACTACAACTCATCTCTTCCGGTCTGGTTGTGGTATGTTTACATTTCTGCAGGAGCGCCCATTGGACAGAACTTCAAAACTTCCAGGGGTTTCCACCCCTTGGGGGTTACCACTTTTCTTAGCCTCTGGGGAAAAACAAGGTTCAAACCACTACAGTATGTAATTCTGTAACATCAGTACCAAGGCTGGGCAGTTCTCCTGGTCAGGTTAAACTGTAGGCAAAACCACTTCATTGTTGAAAAGAAAGTAGAAACCAGCCTAAAGTGCTAAACTTGCAGTTTAAAGTCTCATTAATATGAACATTTACAGATAACAGAATTAAACTGTGAACACAAGGGAGTAGTGTACTAACTTGTTTTTAATTGTATACAAAAGGGCAGCTTGTGTCTTATTTTTTGGTTTGATTAATAGTTTATATTGGGTTGAGTCTGTTTTAATCCTGAGTTAGCCACAAAAGTAATAGTTTTGAGGACACAGTGTCACTATAGATGTAAGTTGGATGTGAACTATGAGTGGGATGCTATTTGAAGACAAATCTAATCTTTGTAAGAGTAAATAAGTAAATAGTATTCAGACATTGGCACAGATTTTTCATTCACGACATTTGTGAAACTTACTGGAAAGCCATATGACATTATGGTTTGTTTAAAAGAATGTGAAAAATCAAAAAGATGTACAGAAAAAGGTTCTTAAAATTAGGGAAAATGTACTAATACTGAAACACAAAATAGATTCTTAGCTATTGATTCAGTCCAGAGAGGACTGAGAAGTAACTTGACTACAGCCTTCGGGTACCTACAGGCCAAAAGGATTTTTGACAGTTAAGAGCTCTCTAATTCAGGAGTAAGGAATGTGTAATTAGCTGGAGCCAAGAATTCCAGTCTGTTCCCCCCTCACCAAATTAACAATGAGAGCTTTAAACCATTGGAGCAATCTCTGTTGGTCAGAAAGATATCCAACATCTCATACAGAAGCTACAGAGGCTGATATTTTGGGACCACGCAGGACGTTAGACTAGACAATAATGTATAACTTTTTCTGCCCTTAATATCTATTTCTGAATTTAAGAATATAAATCAATAAAAATTAAAAAGGTCAACAGAATCTGACTCTCAGTCATATATATTTTATCATTTAATTACATTTCCATTTGAGGATTATAATTCAGTTCTCTTATGACTTCATCACAGAAACTTTTCTGCAGGATCCCAGAAATAGTCTGTCTTATTCTCATGATTAAACTTTCAACCAAATAAAAGCTCTTCAGCTTGTGACTCTGCATTAGCATGTGAAAAATTTAAATAAACATTGTTTTAGCTTCTTTTGTTATGAGTGAACATAGCAATGATACAGGACACAAAGTGTTAATATCTGTTACAGCCCTTGAGCTATACAATTGTGTAGTTTTGTTTTGATCATGCTTGATATGCTGTGTCTTGACTAGGTCTTCTTTCATTCTATTTCTACAGGTTAGTGAGACTTTAATCAAGAAAAAAAAATCTAATGAACAGCAATTGGAAACACAGCACTTGGAAAGGTCAAAATGGTACATTACATCCTTATTATCCAAAAGAACAGATGAGTTTAATATCCTGGCATCATTTTCCTGTGAAGAAGATATTAAACAAGAACTGAAAATGGCACAAGGTTCCCTCTTCCTTTCCTATGACTAAGATTGTAACAAGATGATGAAACTATACAGAATAAATCTCTTTCTGCTTTAATGGTCAAGGCTGTGGATTCTGTCTAGATTTCAAAAACCTAAGCCAGCCAAGGAGTCAACACATGCTATTTGGCTCAGGATATTTACAACATGCTTTCCTGCTTGTATGACCCATTTTCCATCAATATTTTCTAGTCTTAAACATGGGAAGATATGTTAACAGAAGGTACACAGTATAATTAGTTTTGCCACATACATGAACTGCGACAAAAAATGCACTGCATCAGCACTGCTGAAAAAGTAGGTTTTTCAGCTTCTGTTTGAATAATCTAACAGCAGAGATAATGTATTCCAACACACAGCACATTGCATGTATCCTGCTTTGAAAAGTCCCTGAAGGTATGGAACTATTGGAAGGCAAAGGAATTTGTAGTATATCCCATAGGTTATTAACAATTCAATTAATATAAGAACTGTCAGAATATGCTAGTTTAAATCACTATCTGCATGAAGACTCTTCTTTTTATATGTATAAGGGGAGAAAACACCTTCTGGAACTGAGTGTTGTATTTAATGCTAAAAA